CAGGAGTACTCATTTGGATCTCATTCCTCAATCTGGCTGCCTATTTCCACAACACAGAATCTTTGAGAACTCTCATTTCTATGCAGATTCAACAACAGGTAAAAAAAATGCTGGAAGAAAAGAGCACAGAAACTACATGCTTTTAACTTTGAGGAAGAAAACAAGATAAAAAAGTTGGTATTCTAATAAAGGCTCTTCACAGAGGGTTAAGAGTTTCATTCCGAAAATAAGAAAATTATAAAACAGATGGTCTTTTCTAGTTCTTATTTTTAATAGGAAACACAATTCTCAGCTTTAAAAAGTTAAAGAAAGGTCTGCAATTACTTCAGAAAATGGAAGAGGCACAGGAATATGTAGAAGTGTCACTTTACCTTAACAAATTCAGACTTGCCTAAAGGAAATCATAATCCCTTCTCAGCTATGTCTTGTATGGGCATTGATATTAGAGCCAGCAGTCTCCACCAAGCAGGCAGAAGCATCTGACTTCTGACAGCTTTCTCATGGATGCTGAGTCCACTCCCGGGTGTTCACTCCTGGTAAAAATGCTGTGCATCTAATAGCTATTGAATGACTTCCATCTCCATTTACTAAAATTACAGAACAAAGTGCCTCTAAACCCAGAGGAGGGCCTGAAACCTTTCATGATTATAGGTCACTACAAAGAGTCATTCCTACAGAGTCATCTTTTTTTGCCATGCATGCCATCAGATTATTACTTTGCTCATATCCGTCCCAGTACCGCTCTGCTATGCTTGTGTCTGCAGCCTGAGAGGAAGTACTTGCTTTCTCTAAAAGAAAACAGGAGGATATTTTGCAGGTGGATTCTGTAACACAGACAGTGTTCAAATGGACAAGTCCACTAAAGGAATAACAGGATTTCACAAAGTTTATTATTTTATAACTAGAGAAATTCCAAGTATAAATTTGTGATCCTGTCATAGCCAATGCAATCTATCCCTCTAAACTTTCATACAAGTAATTTTCAGATTGCGTATTCCTGGTGGTCCTTGAATTTCATCAGAGGTACTTACAAAGGAACAAAGAAAACCAAGTTGGCAATGAATTGCAGGTGACATTTATGGTTCCACAGTTCTGCTGGAGAAGTTGTAGGGA